GGCTGTAAAAAACAAAATTTCGTTTTGTATGCACTCTGTGTATACAAAATGACAATAAAGTTAGTCTAAGTCTGTTCATAAGAAGGTCTGCAGTGAGTGTGTGAAACGACACTTTAGACAGGAATCTCTTTCTGCTTTCATTTTACAGCATTGTAGAAGGTATAAATTAAAAGAAAATCCTTAGTGAAGGCTTGTTCTTGGATCCCCACACACCATCTGCTGGTCCTTTCATGCTTTTTACCCCCTTTTAAATTGACTACTTTCAACTTCCACAATTGAATAAACTCCAGTGTCAGACTCCTCTTACATGGTTTGTAAACCAGGTGGTTAATTGAGCCAGAGAGGCATATTTTAAAGCACCCAAGTAAACGAGGTCCTGACTTCTACATCGGTGGGCTGAGCTCTGAATATGATTGTATTACCCCCCATGGTCAGTCCTAACAAAACCCCCTCAGACATCAGGCTCTGAATAAAACGCTGCTACATTTTTAAGTCTTTATTACTATTCTTTATTTTAATGGTTCATTTTTTTTTAAAGATGTAGCACAAATTTAAAAGCAGTAGTTAAATTTGGTAATCTGAGTCTGTTTTATGTTGCGTGTAAGCATCAGTTTCTCACTGGACGATTTCATTGCTGTTAGCGAAATATGAGTCACTTTCTTATCTGCAACTAGGCTTGTCACTAACATTTCCTGTAATGTTTAAACATTTACTACATCAGTAACTACATGTTCATAAAAATGCTTTTTTAGTTTGTGTTTTAGTTTTAGATCTCTAGAGACCAAAGTATCAAAATAGTGCAAAATAAATGTGACCATGACATCAAATGTAGTGCATTTAAATAAATGCACCGAGGAGTGTATAGTGTTTTTGTAAATCTGGTAAACGATGGTCCTCCAGCTGAAATGACCGACCAATATTCCTCAAAGATGCAGCAATTAAAAGATTTCTACTAGCAAAGAAGCAGACATGGAAGGTCAAGAAAGTTAGATAAAATGATGAGCGTGATATTTGACTTTAAAACATGGTGGGGGATCATCATCATGCTGCTGGGATACTTTTTTTAGGGAAGCTGGATTAGAGGAAGATGGATGGAGTACAAGACAATACTGTAGGGAAAAAGGAAAGGCTACAAAATACTTGAGAATGGGATGAAGGATATGCATTTGTCAGAACAGCCTAGTCAAAGTGCAAAAAAAAATACATTTGAGGCTAGAATTGATGGTTATATGATTGATGATCTCCGTCTGTGATGGAGCTTTAGCTACTGTAGGGAAGGTCAGATATTAGTCTTTATGTGCAAAGCAGGTAGAGAAATATCAAGGAAGATATTAATGCTCCAATTGCAATATTATCTGGTTCTTGTTTTTACTCAAGGGGGCTGAACATAAAGGCATGGTTTTCAGATTTTTCATTGTCAAAATAAAAAACGATTGATGATCAAATTCACCCCGCCTCTCACCAATTGACAGCTGGAGATAGGCACCAGCACCCCTCCCCACCCCACTTGGGATTAAGTGTGTTAGAAGATGGATGGAGGATCAAATTCAAGGGTTATAAGTAGGGCTGAAACATTTAATCAGATTAATCGTGATTAATCGACTGTTGAAATAATCGTCAACTACTTAAAAAAAAATATATATATATAATCATTTTGCATTTAAGATAAAAAACAAAAAAAATAAAATTTTCTTCTCTCAATAGCTCCATTAAGAACCATTCAAGTGGAATTGGTTAAAAAAAATCATTGATTTGTTAAAAAACTCTTCTTTAAGGAACCTTTTTCCATCCGATTATTAATTAATTAAAAAATGAATAATAATTGACAGATTAAACGATTTGAAAAATAATCGTTAGTTGCAGCCCTAGTTATAAATACTTTAGCAAGGGACTGAATATCTTTTTTCCCAAAGCACTCTTGGCCAAGTGTTTAAATTTAACATTTTTCAAGCCAAAATTAAGCTTTACATAATTTTTCTTTAAAATAGGGCAATAGATAAAATGGATTTACTCTAAAATCATCCACTTAAATGGATGATAACTGAGAGTACTTTTGTTATAAATGAACCGAATAAAGCTGAACGGAAACATTAGTATGCTGCTGTCGACGTAGGGTGGAGGGAAAACATCCCCAGTGCATCACCACTCCTCGCAAAACGTGCCGCTATAAGGACTGATAGTGAAAAGCAAGAGGAAGAAAAGAAACAGTCAACAAATATAGAACACAAAGAGGCAAGAGGGACTTGACTGACTTTGGGAGATTTGATATTCTCTTTGTATATTTCCAGCTTTTTCCTTCTTTCTGCCTGTCTTTCCCAGCTTCTTTCTCTTAGCTGCTCTCTTTCCATAATTTTTAGTGTTTTTTTCCTCTCCCCAAAAAGCAGACAGAAAGCACTGAAAAGAGCATTTGCACACCTGAGTGAAAAGAGCTTGCAGGTGCGTGGGTGGAGAGCTGTGGGAATCAAACAGGGTCTCTCTCTTTGTCTATCCTGCTCAATCTTCCACTCCTGAGGTGTTTTTGCAGGGCTTGTGTTTGTATTGGAAACTTGTGGGCGGTGGAAGTGCTTCTTATATGCATGCATGTGCATCATGTGTGTGTGTGTGCAGCGTTGTAGCTGTGAGTGTTAAACCCGCCTGGCTTTGGCCCTGTTTTTGAAAACAACCCTCAGGTTTCGGTTGGCTCAACCTTTTCCCCCGCAGATTGTTCCTTCCATTAAAAAACCGGAATAAAAAAAAACGCTTGGTCAGACCTTCCTGGATGACTTCATCGGGTCCAGACTAACTCCAAACAACCTTTTGAGCAAACCAAAACAAAATTCAGCCTTTGATTTCATGGTTGCAGCAAAGCTGGCGACATAGAGACTCGAAGCAGGTGCAAAGACACGTCCACATTAAAACATGCTGATAAAGGCCACACAGAGGATCACCTGGTGTATAAAAAATCCTACACATTTTTTATCATGCAATAAACTAAGAACAAGGAGTGCATTATTCCTAACTTCTTAAGTAAAAATGATGGTTGGATCCCCACACCCTTTAGTCAGATATTCTCAAATGTCTCTAAGAAAAGCTAGTTTCCTCTATATGTTTACCAGTGTTGGAATTAACAATATTTCATAATAACATAGTTATTAACTGCATCATTTTTTCATTGGAAAACAAATCTAACTACTTCTTCATATACTGTTAATGACGTTATGTCGCTTGCAATCTAAAGCAAGCTGGCGTCATTCCTAAATAAAGGCGGCTGCTCAAGTCAAAGGCTAAATGCTTCTGCCATTTGCTCATTCTGTGCAGGAACAATGACCTAATATTTCTTAATATAAATTTAGAAGCATCTCTAATCTAAAGAAGCTCCTCACATCAACTCAGCCATGACTCCTCATAGCTCTTTACTTGCTGTGCTATGTATTTGCATGATTTACTGAAAATATACTGGGATAATCCAGTCCTGATGTTTTGTTTTGTACTTTTGTTTTCTGGAATAGTGTTAGTTTTATTTATTTAATTTGTGTTAAATTGCTTGAAAATAATTTTTTTTTTTGGGGTTCTTCCCTATTTTAAAGCCAGTTGATGGTTGTCAACCTGCAAACATATAAAGTTTGGCATCTGATTAGATTTGCTTTATTTTTCTTTTATGAAAAACAAAAAACATAATCATATCTACAAAAAAGTTTTTTCAATCGTATCCAACCAAACACACCAAAATGCTGCAGATTAGCCTAATTAGTCCAATTGTAAAATATAATTAATTTCCAGTTGTGTTTAAAGCTCACATAACAGGAAAATTATACAAATTATTTTACAATTCAGATAAGAAAAAGGTAACTGCATAATTTTGACTAGTAACTTGTTACTTTGATTGTGAAGCACCTCAGTTACTAACTTAGATACTTTTTTAACGAGGAAACTACTATTTAAAACTAGGTTTTTTTATATATATATATACTTATGTCGACAAAAATGATAATACTCGCAGCCCAGATGTCTAGGCTTTAAAAAGGAGTGGCTGAGGTTCAATGAAAGACATTAGAACTCCTGTTTCTGTAGCCAATGTAGAAAACATTTGTTAGAAGGTGCTCCAGTCAGATTAGATCAAAACTGGGCATTTGGGTCTGTATTAATGATGCAATGATGCCAATAAAGAAGGTAAAACATCTTGAGGAAACAGGAATAAACTCAGATGTCTTCTAATTCTATGTATTGTGTCTTGTCCTAACTATGACTGAGTATCTACATCAACACACCCTAAAGATCAACGATAGCTCAACTCAAAGTATACTTCTCTGTTTGAGTGTCCTAGTCAAAGTACAGAACTAAGTTCTTTAAACAACGTGTAGCAAGACCTGAAAAATGGCTGTTTACAGATGCTGCATAGAAGAAAAGGTGCAAATTTCTGTTTTTAGGTGAGCAAACCTGGTAATGATACACCCCGACAAACGTGTAGCTGTAATTGGAGCAAATGATGGTTCCACAAAGATTCAACTCAAAGGAGCCGAAGGCAGATGGATTTCATAGATCTAGACTTATCAAACAGTTATAACCTCTGGTTAGAGATTACTTAAAATCCAAATAAAACATTAAGAGGTTTTATGTTATGTGACAAAGAGTGATAAAGTTTAAGAAGTATTGCTTTATAAAGGCAGAGAAGAAGGACTGAAAATAAGTCCCAGAAATAAGTAAAATAATACAATGGAAAGTTTTTCTCAGCAACAGAATAACGTATTGGAGGAAATTATACTCCTTAAATCCACATGGTCATCTAGTTATTTTTTATGCAGAGCATCCTGTAGTTTGGTGCCCGCCTGCAGACCAGATTAAACACAGATCTCTGACATAATTACCATAAACACACCCGCCCCATCTGCGTCTTCATCATGGGGGGATAAACAAACACACTCAGGCACAATCAGAAATCAACCATGCAATCATAACAACCCACCCCGAGCACCACCTACACCCTGCAGGAAGGCCCAGCACCATGCAATCCCTCATCTCACCGATGATGTAGTAGTCGTGCATGCTCTTAAACTCGTGGCCCCAGAGGTTTGGTGAAAACTCCTGGAACTTGATGGTGAAGCGGCGCTCCCTCGTGGGCTCGTCACACGTCAGGACGATGTTGGGCGTGCCCAGCACCTCGCAGCGGTCGGCCTGTTCCCGCGACGACACGAGGTAGAGTTTGTAGAACTCGTACTCTGGCGTGGACCTGGCCGTGTCCAGCGGGGGGCAGATGAGGTCCAGCCGGTCCCCGATCTGAGGGTAGAGAACATAGCCCTTGTCGTCCCTAAACCTGGAGGAAGGTAAGAAGGGAAATGAGGAAAACAAAATTAGCCTGGAGAGTAAAGCAAGGCGAGAAAGTTTAATAATAACCTTTATGAAGCAGCTGCTTCATAAAGATTTGTTGCTGCCTGAGCAACAGATGGGACTTTTAGCCCTTTTAGATCCAATACCTTCTACCTTTGCTGACTTTAAACAAAACAGATGTTTAAAGCAATGAAGAGTTGTGTAGCTAACAGAACCATTTTTCATTTTAATGTAGAAAAAAAGGGAATCAGAAATATAAAAATGTCCAACTTTAAGTTTTAACAGAGAATTATAAAAGGTCAGAAAGTTCCTGATGACCAATGTACAAAAAAACACCAATCTTTGCAAAACAGATAGATAGATAGATAGATAGATAGATAGATAGATAGATAGATAGATAGATAGATAGATAGATAGATAGAT